CCTCCAGTACTGCTGGGTAATGCTGCTGGTGCTGCTCTCATGCTGGTTTAGCTAGTCACCCAGATAGCGAGCATATATCGGTCCCCTGGCTTGAAAAGGCCAGCACCTCACCGTTTGCCACTGCTGGTCCACCCTCGGACCACCTAGATTACTGTCCTGCATACAAGCTCTAACTAGTTTTTAGTCTCTCCAAACAGATTTTAAATGCACAGAGACTTTTATTTTGTAAAAGACAAATATTACCAATAACTGAGAGGAAAAAAATATGGCTAGGTCTAATATAAAATGATTTTATAGAAAATGTGCTAGATTAAATTTATTTACTAAACTAATTTACAAAGTATAACTAAAAAAATGAAGGAAAAATCAGTAAATTGGACTGTGAGTGGAAAATGAGCAACGATAAGTTAATTGTTGTCTTATACTCTGCTTAAACACCAGTGGGCCGCCCAGAAAAAGCTGAGCAAAACGCCAGCGGACCACCAGCTTTGCCATCAGTGGGCCGACGGTGGTCCACTATCCTCTTGCTATCAGGGCACCCAGCATAGTCATACTCATTGACCATAATACCACCATCCAAAACACAACATATTATCGTTGTCGGAAAACAACTAAAAAGTAACTTTGCAGGAGAAGGATATGAGATAATGAAAAAACATTTTATTCAAAGTCATTTTGGACCATTTCTATTGGTCTGTTCAACATGAACTTTTGACACGGCATAAACAGTAGCTGGTATTTTCAAATAAAATGACATGTCTTGCTCCAGCAGTGATTATGCTGGTTTAGGAGGTGATTATCATTACAGCTTCCATTGGTGCTAACCATGTTAATATTGTCACTATTTGGGACAAGACCGTTTATCTCCATTTTTGCTGTTTTTATTTTTTTTAACATAATTTGAAAGTATGAGCTCCCATTTACACATTGTCCTTGAAAATTAACCTTTTCAACTCCTTGAGACCACCGGTGGTTCCAAAATGCACTTTGTCATATTCTTCATAACTTTCATATTTCATAAGCTACGTTCAAAAGGTGGGTGTCGTGTGAGAGCTGTAACTGTCTTCTTTCCATTCAAATAGATGGGTAATGTAATATTAAACCCTTATAATAAAAGAAGCTTTCTACTGAAAGTCGACCCATTTTTCCACAAATCTGGGCTATAAACTATAAACAGATGGCGTCTCTTCAGTGATCTGCTCTGTAAAAATTATTTTTATAAAATAATAAATGAAGAGAGTCTAAGATTTTTGGCTTTCAGCAGTAAATTGTAAGCATATAGCAATATGTGTGATCATAAAACACATGTTCTGTTAATCTGAGGGGAGCTTTTAAAAAAAAATAAATAAATAAATAAAATAAAAATGTACATTTATTTCATGCAGTTACTGAATAATTTGCCTTACGATTTGGTCATTAAGTCAGATAGACAAACCAAAATATACCCTGGTCAATAAGAGGTTAAGAATGTTTTTTGTTCTCCTGTAAAGTTACTATTTTGCAGAAATTAGATTTTGATCTGACAGCAACCATATGCTGGCTTTGCTGGTGCGGGCTTTCTAGCGGGAAGCTAACAATATAAAAGTAAATTTGAGACGCTAAACATGCCAAACATACCTGTTTTTGTAACATTTACGTTACGCTTATGTTTGTAAGGATGGGGCACATGTGTTTCATTGAACTATTGCTTTAAATAATGATCCAGAAGCTTTTAGCTCCCAAAGGGAAAGTGAGCGTGTGCTCTACATTGTTGTGAATTTATTATGTCTTGACCCTCAGGCCTCCAGGCCAGACGTTATGCATCATGTCTTCAGTCCTAACTGACCGTTGGACGGTCTCGTAGTGTCTTCACTCTGACTCCAGCTGACCCTGATCAATAGCGGGATTCCCACTCCACTCAGCACGAGGAGGGGTCAAGCTTTTCAGCTGTGTTTCTACTCCCATAGCATCATTCAGCCATCATTCAGGCGGAACTGTGATTTGAATAGTGCGCTGCTGGAAATGCTATCTTAGCAAATAAAATAATCTCAATTCTAGTCAATTTATATAATATTTCTCAGCAAGAAATTTTCATAAAATAATTATCATGAAACTTATCATTTTGTCAAGTTGCCTTGAGACTGAATGATGAATTCTGGATATGAATTTTATTTGAACTTCATTTTTGATGTTATACTGCTTTTTTATTACAGAACATTAATTCATTCTTCATTTTTTTTCAAGGGTTCTTTAGTAAAGGCAATGCTTCTATTTAGAACCATGAGTTCTAATGGTTCTATATAGCACCAAAAAGGGTTCTTCTATTGTTACAAGCTTCACGTTGTAGCAATAGCAGAATCATTTTTGGTGCTATATAGACCCATTTTCAAAAAAGGTTCTATATAGAGCCATATACAACGCATTTTCCTATCTGAAAAACTATTTGACCATGCAAAGAATCATTTAAACATTTAATGGTTTTATATGGAACTCACGGTTCTAGATAGAACCATTCCCTTCACTAAAGAACCCTTGAAGAACCGTCTCTTTCATAAGATTGTACTATATGGATAAAATTACTTCGAACAAATAAAAATCTCTAGAAATGGTTCTATATAAAACCAATAAGGGTTTGTTCTATTGTTCAGCTGACACTGTAACCACAGCAGAACCCTTTTTGGTGCTACGTAGAACCATTTCTAGATATTATATGTCACTGAGTTAGCTTGTTTAGAAGTTCTCTGTACATCTGACTTCTTGATCCACGCAGTTGCACAGTGTTCTAGATATAACCACGATACATTCAGAAAAGAGTATCGTGACAGAGTTTATCACAATAACCACAGCATATCGTCGTATCGGCCAGGTCTGTTTACACATATGCGTGTAGCTGCGCTCACGGCTGCTGCTTCAGAGCTGCAAAGGCGACAGCAGTGAATTATGGGCCTGAATTACTAGGACGAGTGAGATTAATTACTATAAGCCATGATTAGCCCTCCTCCTTCAGGCCTCTATATATGCGCTGAGTGGCTGAGTAATTGTGTTTTGCCGCTGTCGTCGTAAAGCATATCTCAGCCATAATCCATATGCGGGTGACATAAGGGCAGATTGTTACTTAATTGGCCTCTTGAAGGTCTGTCAGCAGGTCTTTATCTGCCAGGCCGTGTTCTTTGACTGCGCATGAAACGGCGCAGCATCCCCTCTCATTCGTCTGAGCCGGCTGTCAGGCCGAGATGAGAGCTAATGAGAAAAAGCAGTAAGTCTTCAGTGACGTCAGGCTTTGGGTCAGCGCTCATTTAAATGTTTGGCCCAAGCTCTGAGAATGTGCTGCAAGACATTTTACTGTTTAGACGTCATTTATGGTGAGGATGCCGAGTACAAATCTTTTATTTTGTTTTGCAAAATGAGGTAATGTGATTTAGGTGGTAAGGAAATGCAAGGTTTGTTGAAAATATTCTGAAAAATAACAGAAGTGGGTCTATAAAACTAGAGCATGTGGGAAATTCCAACAATTTTTCAAAATTTCTGCATAATTCAGTGGTTAAGTAAACAAAACTCTGAGCCATTCAGTGTGGATTGGTGTGAAATGGCCCATTAATCATAAAACAACATCACAGCCATTTAAAATGCTTTAGATGTCTGGTTCCTATCACCACCACTGTGAAGAGTTTCTCTAGAACAGAACATCTCACACCAAACTTTTTATTCTGACTTTGTTTTCATCTTTAACATCTAATTATGCAAAATCTTTAGAAAAGTCTACTGAGTTCTCCTTTAACTGGATTTCCTCAGCAGAGTTTGTAGAGTTTTAATCTGTAAATTGAGCATTGAGCCCTTCATTTGTCTAAATTGTGCCCCCTGTTGGTGAATAGAAATATGGACGCATATAGTAGAAACTAACTGTATGTACAACAGAAGCCACAGCTGAAGCACTCCAGAGAGAGAGAGAGAGAGAGAGAGAGAGAAGAGAAAGAGAGAGAGAGGGAGAATGAAAGGAGAGAGAGATAAGGAAATAGAGTGATAAAGAGGAGATAAAGAAATAGAGACAGAGGATACAGTGAGAGCGAGAGAGAGAGGATAGAGAATGAAAGAGAGAAGAGAGAGTGAAAGAATGAGAGAGAATGAAGGAGAGAGAAAAAGGAGACAGAAGGATACAGAGATCAGAGTAAATGAGTGAAGAAAAGAGGGAGAAAGAATGAAAGACAAACAGGAGACAGCGAGAATGAACAAGAGAATTAAGGAGAGAATAGAGCAAAAAAGAGAAAGAGAGTGAAAAAAAGAGAAAAAGAAGAAAGATATAGAGAAAGAGAAAGGGAGGAGGATAGATAGATAGATAGATAGATAGATAGATAGATAGATAGATAGATAGATAGATAGATAGAGTGAATGAGAGAAGGAGAAAGAGAAGGACAGTAAAAAAGAGAATGAGTGGTATGTGAAGAAAAAAGGGAGAGAATGAGAGTGAAAAAAGAGGAGACAGAATGAAAGAGACATAGGAGACAACGATAGAGAGAAAGGGGAGAGAATGAATGAGGGAATTAAGAAAGAGGGCATCGAGTGAAAAAGAGAAGGGGAGACAGAGGAAAGAAGAAGGAAAAACAAAGAAACAGAAGGGAAAGATAAGAGACTATGACAGAGAGAAAAGGAGAAGGATAGATAGAGATAGATAGATAGATAGATAGATAGATAGATAGATAGATAGATAGATAGAGATTGAAAAAGTGGCAGAAGGAGAGAGTTACACGCACTGAGGGGAGAGAGAGAGAGAGAGCGAGTTAGAGAGAGGTATAAGAGCCGTTGCTGGGAGGAGGGGGTCGTTTCCATGGTAACGGCGATGGGGGGGGTGGCGGGTGAGTCGTTTGGCTCGGGTTGTTTGTTAGTGGAGGTCACGTGGCTCACGCTGAGCAGAGGGGGGCGGGGTTGGGAAGGCGCGGTGGGGGGGGTGGTGGGGGCGGGGGGGACAGTGTAGCGGCGCTCGCGCGCCACTTCCTGTTTTGCCGCCGAGGCTCGAGCGCTGCAGCCGCTTGTTGTCAGTTGCAACAAAATGGCTGCTGGAGCGGCGCGCTGAGCTGAGCGCTGGAGTCGGATTACATTAAATTACGGCGAAGTCCATCAGACTGAATCAGACGGACACCCTGTCCACTCAGAGAGGCGGCGTCTGTTCACGCGTGCGTTTAAAACGCGGCGTTAAAACCAGTTTTCCCCTACTTTTCATTTTTATTTTTGCACTTTACACCAGAGGCTCGCGAACACGTCACTGAGAGAGAAAAAAAGAAGACGAAAAAAAGAAAAAAGCTGCAAAGGCAAAGAGCGAAGCGCTTCAGCTCGGTCAGGACGCACAGCCAGCCCGAAACAGGCTCCTCTGCTGCACTGCTGTTTTGTTTTTTTGTTTCCTTATAATTTCTTTTTCTTTTGCTGGTCGGGTCGTTTTCGGTTGTTGTGGAAGGTTTAAGAAGCCCTGCTGCTGTCGGACTGGCGGTGTTGTTGGACTGCGCTCTGCCTGCGGTACCTATCAAGGTAAGATGTGTGGAAATCTGTGTTAAAGTTGCTTTTTAAAAAGACTAACAAGCGCTTTAAACGGAGAAAGCCAGCCTGAATGGCTCTCTGCAGCTTATTCGCCAGCTTCTCGTTCGAATTATCCCGTTCCACCTTAAATGGGGCAGCAGTTACATTCTGGCGCATCAGCTCAGCTAACGCTAGATGACGTTTGTTTTGTTTTGTTTGTTTATTTAAAACGTGGCCTCGCGTTTGTTAAACCCTTTTCTTACGTACAGATGTTAGTTGGTTTGCCTCGTAGGTGTTTTCTAGTCAGGCTGAAGTTGGTTTCTTATTCGAATTTTCCGTTCCACCTTAAGTGGAATGTAAGCGCTGCACCATTTAAGGTGGAACGGAAAACTTCAGCCGTGTCGACGGCTGGCTAACGTTAACGTTTTAGTTTATTTATTTCTTTCAGACGGAATACAGACAGCCCTGTTTAAGTGCAAACGCACCTGCGGTTTGTTTAGACGTTTAGATTTGCTGTATTTGCGTTATTTTGGCGGTGTTTCTATACGTTTGTTAGTGTTGAGGAGCCGATAGACATGTTTGTGTTGATGATGTTGAACGTGGCTGGGAGTTTCATGCACTACTGCATAGAGGTGCACCGATACGAGAATTCTGGGTCGATATGCGATGTTTTTAGGTACATTTCTGTCGATTCTGGTGCAGAATGTGCTTAAAATCCCCAGGGATTATCATTAAAAAAAAAAAAAAGCCCAGTAATTAAACATTCTGGAGTACAATTAAATATTGTGTGGAAAGATTGAGTCTAATAACTGTCCAATCACATAGGATGGTATTATCATTATGATGATTGTTGTGGTTGTTGTTATTATTGTATATAAGGGATGCACTGATATGAGAATTCTGGGTTGGTATTTTAATGTACATTTCTGTTGATTCTGCTGCTGATAAAGACGAATAGACATTTATAAAATGTACATAAAACCTGCATGGGTTAGCATTATAGAAAAAATGTCATGTGTATTTGTAGAGGGCTGGAAATGCAGTGAAATAAATAGTAAAATAATTAAATCTATATTTTAATCTTAATCTTAAAATAATTAAATCTAAATTGTTGTTGTTGTGGTTATTGTTATTATTATTATATACAAGGGATGTATATCCAGTATTTTTATGTATGTTTCTGTCAATTCTGCTGCTGATTCAGGTGCATAGACATTATAAAATATACGTAAAATCAGCATGCGTTAGCATTACAGAATAAATGTCATATTTGTTCGCAGAAAGTTAGAAATATAATAAAATAAGTAGTAATTTTACTGCAGTAACTCAGCAGTACTTAAACATTCTGGAGTACAAACAAAATATTGATTGAATGATTAGTCAAATCTAATAGCTGGTCCAGTGCTAATGTGCAATTACATAGGATAGTGTTGTTATTAATATTATTAGTATTGTTAATACTGTTGTTGTTGTTGTTGTTGTTGTTACTGTTGCTGTTATTATTAAAATTATATCAGGTGCATTGATTTGGGGATTCTAGGCTGATGTTGGTATCTGATATTTTTAATATACATATCTGCTGATGCCGATACAGAAACATTTATAAAATGTAGAAATTAGTAATACATGCACTTGTATTCGCATTACAGAGAATTACAAGTTTTATTTCTATCAGGTTACAAATGCAGTAAAATAAGTAAAATGCAGATTTTTTTTTAACACAATAGCCTCTGCTCTTCTGGAGTAAATAAAATTAGAAATATCAAATTTGAACATCTTTCTAATGCAGATAATTTTTGTTTAAGCAAACCTCTGTGAAAATGCAAAACTGTAATCGTCAATAATAATAATAATAATGGTAATAATTAAATTGTCATAGCATAATTGTGTATGACATAATAATGTTTCCTCCCTTTCAAATAAAATATGCAATTTTTTTATTTCAGAGTTTAAAATGCCTTAACCTTGGCTATTAGAAAGTACTGCAAATGTGATGATGTGTTTCATGTGTTCATTTAGCCCACAACAAAAAAAAAAGATCAATAAAAATAAGCCATCGGCCAATTTGACTGTAAACAAATCGGAATCAGTCATAAAAATCCATAATCAGTGAATCCCTAGTTATTATTAAAGGTGTGCGGGTTGTAGAAGTGGTGTTGGTGGACGTGCGGTCTGTGCTGCAGGATAATTCACCTGCTGGCCTCAGACACTTCATCATTTCTTGCGTGTTTGTTCTTGGCTGCCTGTGGCTGGAGCTGCTGCTGCATTACAGCCTCGGATAACTGCAGGCTCAACATGCTGAAGGCGCTGCTGCTGCTGAGCTTCACCACGACTGATTCCATCAAACCCGCGTCGTGTTCCTTTCGAAAGGAGACGCCTTAGGACTCTGATGAGTTTAGTGTTTTCGTAATATTGATTAATTCATTATATGTATTTCAGCTGGAGTGCAGACTGGTCGTGTTTTTATGATCCATGTCTGTATGGTGCAGATCAGGGATGCACGATGATTAGGGCTGAAAGATTAATCATTTTTACATCGAAATTGAAATTTAAGTGAGTGCAGTTTAAATTGCAAGAGCTGCATTTTTTTAAAATCATAGCCTACATTGTCAAAAACACTGTCTTAAGTTTTAAGTCAGGTAATTTAACGTTATAACACAGAGCTTGTGAACTGCCTGGACCAATCAGAGGCAACCAAACCTCTGTGTGCTGTGACATCACAACCACAAATTACTAAAAGTTCTTTACAAATGATGAAATACAAAGACAATTCAAATTACACTTTGAAAAGGTAACAAATTAAAGTAGAATAGAAATTAGAAATGTGATTAAGTTGTGGTTAAAACAACAGATTTTAAAAGAGAAGAATAATTAAAATATATCCAAATCCAAATAAAAAAAGAAATTAGAATAACAAAGTACCCTTACAGGAGGGACTACATGCATTAAAAAAAAACAAGTCTCAACTGTAATTTGTAGCAAATAATCACAATTTAAAAGTAAAAAAAAAAAAACGCAGTTAGGTATTTTCCCCAAATCGTTCAGTCCCTAATGATGATATCACAGTCGTATCAGTATCTACAGATTTTTGCCTAAATAAATTGATGTTGGACAGATGTTTAGATTTGATTATTTATGACTGATATTTGATGATGTATTTATTATTTCTAAATGATTTGGGGAAAATATGTAATAGTGATTTTTTTTTGTGATTGTGATTTAAATGTGATATTTTCCATAAATTAAGCTCCTGGTCTTTTTTCACAGAGATGTCCATCGCAACAGTTTTTTGGACTTGAGGCTTGAATGCTGAACGTAGTGACCAGACTGCCAGTTCACAAGCTCAGCATTATTATAATAAATTTAGAGAGTAACGGAAGACGTAATTTACAGTTGCAGCTCTTGCGATTTGAAAATTGCAGTCTTTCAAAATGGCATTTTGATAATAACAATTAATTGCTCAGCCTCAGGATTTATTGTACTTAAAGTGAAGCCGTTTTACAATAAGACGACCCTTATAAAGGGTTTATGAATGGTTTGAAATGTGTATTTATAATTAGATCATAAATACTGTTATTAAGCGGTTATAACACAAATAAAAAGGGTAACAGTGATTTGTTATACCTGTTAAATGTCCGATGAAGCTGACAGGTTTAATGGTCACTGATACAGAAGACACAGTAAGATTAGTAACTACTAAGATTGGAGCTTTGAGTCTCTTACATGGTAGCTAGGCTTAGAATCAAGCTTGGCTTATTTGGAGTGTGGGCTAATTAATCTGTCAAATTAGGGATATGCAATAATATCGGAATCATATCGGCATTGTCACATAATTGCTTACAAAAAAAATATCAGCGTGGGACAGATATTTAGATTTGATTAATATTTTAGGCTGATATTTGATGACGTATTTATTGAGCAGCAGAAGACTAGAATACACCGAATAAACAAAAAAATATTATATTTCTCTGTAAAGCTAATGAAGGTGAATTTAGTCTGGATTTCTACACTGTAAAAAAATGGCTCGTCATTTCAACCTACAAAAAAAATAAGTTCGGTAAATTAACTAGTTTTATTTTACCTAAATACATCATTTGAATGGACAATTTTTTCAAGTCATTTTTAAGTCAAATAAAACTAGTTCAGTTGCTTCTCACTGCATTTTTTGTATGTTTTAAAAACATTAGTGTAGGAGTAGTGGCAGAAACATTGGGGTCCAAAGTCTGAGAGCACTAGATAAAATGCTTTTGTTCAAATTTAATAAAAAAATTATATAATTAATTAATAATAAAAAAAAATATATATATATATGGTATTAACAGTATACATTTTTGAGAGGAAAGTAAAATCCATAAAATATTTCCATGAATTTTAGAATTTTGGAGTATTTGGGAAGGTATGCCCTTCTTCTGCTTTAATCACAGCACACAGCTGAGCTGCATGGGCTCCACAGGTTTGTGCAGAAGCCTCTGATGAGCAGATCAAACCTACCTGAGAGTCACGTGAACACGAGCTTCACTGGAAGGAATTGGACTCAAAAACAAATCTGACCTTTTAGTGCAAAAACCTTAACATAATCAAATTTGCATAAATTTGAATAGTGAGCTGGAAATAGTGCAGGACCTTTAGTGTTTCTTCTGTTTTACTTCTCATCTTTTCTTTCTTCCTTTCCTGTTTTTAATTTCTCATAGTTTATTTCCTGGTTAAAATGAAGAAAAAAATCTTAATTTGTTAATGTGATCTCAGACTTTTGGACTTGTATGTACATAAAAGTACCTGCTATATCTATTAACACCAGCCCACAATCCCCATATCAGTGCATCCCGACTGTCACAGTGTTGTATTGATGTTCTGATTTCAGACTGATACCTATATTTAGGAATGCATGATATTGGAATCATATTAGTGTTGGTGACATTTCCCTTAATAAATCTGCATTATGTAATAAAATATGGTTTAAAACGGCTTCAAACTGATATTTGATGTGTTTTGTGGTTCTCTGAATGAGCAGA